CTTCATTCTTTATTTCATTTAAATAAAAAGGTTCTGTATTCAACAAAGTGCATCTGATGCTACATTCTGAGACAATTCCACTCCTTTTTGCTTTCTGTTGTTTTTTGTACACATCTTTTACTATATGGAACCTGAATTGATCAAAATTTTAAGCAATCGGAACTTGAACTGTTTAGTATGTGCTGTCAATTTGTCCAGCAGAGCAATGTAGTTTCTGTCTTATTACTTCCATATTTACCTCACTTTTTGTGAAAACCCAAAGCTGCATTTAGATTCTTGAATCTAACAGATTGGATTTAGAACTCAAATTTAGTTTGGACCTTTCACTGAAGTTTAAAAATATGCCCCTTCCAATGATTTAACTCTTATAACTTGCCAATCTTCTGGCCTGCAAGAAAGAAACTTTTTGGTAACACTAAGTATGTTGAAATTTGTAAAGCTATCGGTGAATGTTTTTAGCAATATGATAAAGATGTTAAGATTGTAAATGCTACTACTTTGCACACGTTTTCAGTCTATTATTCAAGTTGGAGAACTTGCACACCTGATGATTTTAGTCTGTTAAGATATGAAGTATTGGTATGGCTGCTTGATTTTGAATGATTTAGTAGTGAATATTTGTTTCATCTATAATTCTAAATTTGTTGTACCAGGATGTGGCCCCGTGTTTCTAGGTGTGATATCTGTTTTTCTTTCCAACCCCCTTTTTTTACCTTAGAGGGGGTGGTTGGTTGGTCTGGACCTAGGACCTTTTACACTCTCATTTGCAAGTAAGCTTGTGCAAGTAATCTAGACTTCAGAGTCCATTGGAATAGTTTCCGAACTTCAGGGAACTGGGGACTTGACAAACCTTTGGAGTGTATAGACATTCTTCATTTGATTTAACTATTAGTTTGAGTAGTTTAGTGAATGTGCATTATTTACTTGGGATGGGGGAGGTCCCTCATAAATGATGAAATGATGGGGTCAAATATTAGATTCAACTTTATAGGTGTTTTTTGGCCAATCACTTTATTGATTGTTGGATTTATGATTGTGTTTGTAATTAGTTATCAATGGCTTGCTACCAATATGAGAATGTTATGCCAATGAGAGGCTAGACTGCAAAAAATAGAACTTTTTGCGCATCTTTTTCTTGGAAATAGCTTGACTAAACCTGCTTGGAGGACTTTTTGGATACTTAGTGGAAGTTCACAAGGATGGTTAAGGTTGAATTAGATAATAAGTTTTCAATCCCTTATCCATTTTATTTATATGATGTCATTTTTTCACCGTTTGGTAGTAACATTATGGAAACTGTGTCTTGTATCAGGGAAGGCTTTTTCTCCAGACTGGATAATTCTGGTTGTGGTCCTGCAAGCGGTAACCGCTCTGAGACATCATCTAATGCTGACACTAATGGTAATAGAAATGAACAGAACCAAGTAAATAATTCACATGAAGTCATAGATGGATTAAATGGCCAATCTGAACATGAGAATGAGGAAACTGATAACCAAAGGTTTTTGGATGGTAGAACTGATTTAGAGGGTGATGTTGTTGAAGATTTAAGTTGGCAAGAAACTTCTGCTCGTGTAGAAGAGTGGCGGGAACAAGTTTCTGAGAGTGTGGTTAGAGACTGGCAGTGGTCGGCCAGTGTTGAGTCTAATGAAAGCAGAGATGTTATTGGACAAGTCTTGGATAGGGAATGGCAACAAAATCTTGCTAATGAGTTGCCCCCTGAAACTTTGCAGAATGAATCTGGAGAACATATTCATCTACGAGAAGATAGTGAAGCATCTCATGAACATTCTCCCCAAGATGGTGAGAGAAGTGGGGCATTTGGGTTAATGAATGACTTAGAAAATTTGGAAAGCAATCCAGTTGAAAATATTGATGGGCAAGAATCTGCTTCTCAAGTTGAACAATGGCAGGAAGAGGATCAGGAAAATGAGGAAGTGCACTGGCAGGGATCTAGTGTTGAGCATAATGAGTTGATGGATGGGAATGAAGAAGCCTCTGACATGCATCGTGAGGATGGTGGGAATGAAGATGGAGGCTATGATCATTTACAAGAAGCCCTTGATGCACGACATGAGGATGGTGGCTTGCATGAGACTACACGGAATTGGTTGGAAGTGTCTTCTAATCAAGAACCTGTTACAATGGGAAGGACAGACACATTTTATTTTCCTGATGATGATAATGTATACAGTATGGAACTGAGGGAACTCTTAAGCAGGTGTGAATTCTATAACTGTTGGGCGTATGAAATTTGATTTTTTAATTCATTGTTTTCTGAACTATATTATTTTTAATATTGTAGGAGAAGTGTGTCTACTCTTCTTCGCAGTGGTTTCCGTGAGAGTCTTGACCAGTTGATACAATCATATGTGGAAAGGCAAAATCATGCTTCTATTGACTGGGAGCTACATGAAACATCACCTACTGCTGCATCACTTGAACAAGATCTAGAACAGCATAGCAGGGATCAGAATGAGGGTCAGGGGGATGCAGTTGAGGGTCCTCCACTTGCCCTTCCTTCACCGAGGATGCCACCTACGCAGCCACTCTGGGACCAGGATTCACACCATTATAATTGGGCACCGCATGATATGCATCAGCGCTTTGGCATTGTATGTCCATTTCTTCGTCTTGCTTGCAACTTGATTCTTTTCTCAATTATCTTTTGAAAAGTTGATTAATCTACAATCCCAGTTTTTCAATAGATACTTCTGATAAAAAGCTGATATTTCCCTCAAAGCATCTTGTTTCTTTATTTGTTATGTTATTAAAATTTTGTTTGATATTGCTAACATTATTATCACAGAATAATTGTGCCTTCTTGGTGAAACTTAATATAAAGATTCCCTGAGCTAGCAGAATTGATGAAAATTTAGCTAGACTCATCTAAATAATATATGCTTTAGGACAGCAAACTGCAAAATGCTTCCTCTTACTTTTGAATAGCCAAACTGCAAAATACTTCCTGCTATCTTCGGAGAGTGAAACACTTCTGGTTCCTTGTGCTTCATTTGCAGTTGGCTGGATGCCAGTATTCAGTATCTGACTAATTTTGAAGGGGACTACTCTTTAGGTGCTTAAATCTGTTCAACTACTGTTCTTTTGGTCTCCATTTTAATTGAGTTTTTGGTGCTAATTGGTTCAGGAGTGGGAGATCGTTAATGATTTGAGGATTGACATGGCTAGGCTGCAGCAAAGGATGAATAACATGCAGAGGATGCTAGAGGCGTGCATGGATATGCAACTTGAGTTACAGCGGTCAATAAGACAGGAAGTTTCTGCTGCCCTGAACCGTTCAGCTGGTTCACAAGGTGTCTTTCTTCTTTCCTTGCATATCTGCTAACTTGTGTAATAGTTCCTTAAGGAGTATTGCTGGGAAGTGAATCATCCCCTCTTCTTTCTCTATCTCAAGAAGCTCTATTTCTCTTGATTGCTGTCATCTATCCTCAGGAGGCTCTACTTGTCCTGATTACTCTCATTTATCCTCAAGAAAACTCTGACAGTGGATTAAACTGCTGATTTTTCATGTTGTAACAAAATGGTTTTCTTCATTCCATAATGAATCTGAAACTTTTCTCATGCCAGCATTTGCTCATTTTGCTTTCTTGTTCTTTCTGTTTGTTAATCATTGCGTTGATCTGCTGCAGGGGTGATTGATGACAGCTTGCCCAAGGATGCAGCTAACTGGGATAATGTGAGGAAGGGAATCTGTTGTATATGCTGTGAAGGCAATATTGATTCATTGTTGTACAGGTAAAGCTTATCAAGTTTACCCTCAAGTTTCATATAGATTTGAGGCCTATAGAGCCCAAAAAATACCAAGTCCCTTTGCAATGTGATCTTATTTCTTTCATTTCTGTTTCATATTGTTACAGATGTGGGCACATGTGCACATGCTCAAAGTGTGCCAATGAGTTGGTCCAAGGTGGAGGAAAGTGTCCAATGTGTCGGGCACCAGTAGTTGAGGTCATCCGTGCTTACTCAATCCTTTAATATGAAGAGTATATTTAATAATAATCAAAAAAAGAAAATAGAAAAATCTGGATTAACAATCATAGAATCTTTCATCAGTTTTTGCTCCTGGTTCACTCCAGGTATCTTCCATTTTCTCTTCTTTTCTTCTTTATTTTCTCCTTTTTTTCCCCTTCTTGGGCCCCTTGCCGTGATTTGATAATATACAGTACATAAATTGAGTGTATGATTGAAACAGAAAATGTCGTCTTTAATTCATTATATTACTAATCTGAATAAACTCGTGTGTGAGATTGTCAATTATATCTATACATTTTATGACGAATGCTGGCAATGAGATTGAGATGACTTTTATCTAGCAGTGTGAATTTCAATAATTGATTCTTAGCTGAACAGGGAAGCATACCTGCTAGGGTCATAGTTTGTAGCATAATTCTAGTTAATCCATTCTCACCTCTTTTTCACCCTGGTTCCACACCTTTTGTGATTAGATTATTTCCTTTGGTGAAAGTGCTTTTGCTTTTGTTGATAGACATTTTCTTCTGGCAATTACCGTCGAAAGCTCCTGCTGAAGAACTGTTTAAAATGATCTTGAGAATAATTGCAAGAAACCCCATTTCATGCAAATTGTAAATTGTCGCGGCATCATGTGATTTGCTATTTTTGTTTCCAATAGAGATAACATCTTACCTTCCTTTTCTTGTTGAGACTTGTTTTTGTATGGTATAGTGGTTTATTTTCGTTTTTGTGGCCATAATTTTCCATAAGATTTGACTTTTACTGGAGGGAAGAAACGTGAAGGATTAGTCATTAGTCATTTATTCTTTTGGTCTGATTTTTGTCTCGATACGATGATTATTGATTAGATGCCGACATGCATCAAATCTTTTCACCAGTCATCGGTGTCAACTGACAGCGGGCTACCGCTCGTGGTTTCACCGAGCTCGTTAATTTCATTTTTCACCAAGTATATAATCAAAGAGTTGAAAGCCGAGTAGAAATGAGCAAATATTAAGAAAAGTAGATAAGGCCAAGCAATTTTCTTTCTTTAATAATTGATGATTCTCTAAAACAATCCCCAATCACTTTCTCCACTTCCTTGTATGGCTAAAGAAAGGAACTTACAAACAAAATTAATCAAAAACGAACCTCGAAACCCCTAGATGACCTTTGAAGCCAGCGCAAGTATCTAGCTGTTAACAACTACACGTGTCACCTTGTACGTATCAAAAACTCAATGTTCTTTGCAGCATTGCTCGTTGTTCTAACCTTGGACAGCTACTCGCTCTCCTCACCCTAGACGTTGTTCCCATGACCATACACGTGTCATCGATAGAAACCGCAGAAGACTGACTCCTGCCCTGATCGATTCTCTCCTGCATTACACCCTCTCCACCACCGCCCTTGATCTCGAACAACCTGGTCCCTCTACAAACGGGGCACGACACGTGGGAGGTGAGCCAGGTGTCGATACATTCCACGTGGAAAACATGTTTGCAACACGGTATCGTTTTAACGCATTCTTTCTCTTCGAACTCGCTCAGACAAATGGCGCAGTCTATCTGGTACTTAGCGTCCCCATGGTAAGAATACACCGGCAAGGATCCAACGGTTGTTGGGTCAAGTCCTTTACGTGGAGTTGAGACATGATGACGATCGGACGGCAATGATAACGTGTCAAGTAAGCCACCACGGTAGCGTCTTCTACGAGAGAGATGGGCTGTTGGTTCTTCAGAGAAACGACGAATATAGATAGAGAAAAAGCCCATGAAGAAGAGAGCTGTGAGGAGAACGACTATGGTGAGAGCCATGGAAGAGTCAAAAGGAGGGTTTTGTTGGGACAGCTTTTTAGAGGAGGACAGCGGTGATGAGGTGGAGTTGGTGTTGACGGGGCGGTGGTGGTGAAGTGGCGGAGATGGCAATGAGGTGGTGGAGAAGGGAGGGTCATCGTAGAGGAACAGTTTCCGGGAGTAGAATTTCATTGGAGTTGAGAAAAGAGAGTGTTGAAGTGTAAACTTTGCTTCGTTAGTATTATTATTTTTGTTTTGAATGAAGGGGTATCCTTATATATAATTGAAGATAAATTTTAAGGATAAGAGGGGTAAGGTGGGCGGTCGGATTCATCAAGAGCGATGGCGGTGTAACAATGATAGAACGAGTCTAGTGATTGGGATAAAGGTCCCACATTTTCTATTATTTTTTCTTTCTTGTAAGATTTTTTATTAGTAACATAAGTTTGCAGCAAATTATTTCATGTATATAATTATCTTAGTTTCAGTTATTTATGCTTGAAAGTTGAAATTAAGGTGTTGGATAGCATAGTAAGAATGAGTTAGGTATATGTTTTTCCTTATTGGTCTTTGGAATTTGGTCTCAAATTTCAATCATGAATAATGTACATCTCAAAAAAAAAAAAAACAGTGTTTAAAAATGATTTAGATTTGAATCAAGATATTGCAAAGTAGTCATTCACCATTAACTTTCAGAATATAACTATTATCTCATGACAAACAATTTTAAACAAGAGATAATAAATGTATATAAAGATATTAAAATTCAAATAATATGAAATGATAACAAATAAAAATATTAAATGAAAATAAATCTAAATAGTTATTATCTAATCCAACCATGAAAGATATACATATTCGTATGTTAATTTTATGATTGTAACTTACTTTATTTTAAATTGAAACCAGTCAATTGATATTTATTTTTGGTGAAATAATTACACTAAAATTATTTTGACATAATATTTAAATTTTTTGAATTATTATGAAAAATTCAAATAAGTTCATATTCTTTATTAAATTCAATTAAATTTTTATAACAAATGATTAACTAATAATTATTAATTACAATGTCATTTATTATTTTATTCTATGTCTTGTTAACATGATATAATAACATGTCATAATGAATAATAATATAAAATGATAATATTATTGCAATGATAACATTGTCACTTGTATTTTTCACCTTCCGCATCATCACGTCTATATAAATTTAATAAATTATGTTTTGATTAATGGTAGTAAATTAAACCTTCGTTATATGGACTTGTATGACTTAAAAAACTAATTATTTGCTTGAATGTAATAAAAAGATAATAACTTATTTAAATTTTTTAAATAGCTTACAAATTTTTTTAATATATTATTTCTTTTTTTTTCAATATCCTCCATTCTTTTGTTTACTATTGAATTCTAAGATTTTGTTTGGTTTTACCCTTTTTTTTTAGCTTAAAAGTTATTACAAAATTTTTATGAAAAATAATAATTTTTAAAATTAAGTTAAATCTATTTTAAAATTTTACTTTTATAAACTTTATTTTATAAATAAATTATTTGATAAAATAATTATATAAACTCTAATTTTAATTAAAATTATTATAAATAAATTTAATGAATAACTTTTTATTAATTATAAATTTCTTTATTTACAATGAAAAAATTAATTTTATTTTTTTATTTATTTAAAATAAAATTTTAAAAATATAAAAAATATTTTTTATATAATATAAAATTTATAATTAATAATAAATTATTTAAAAATGAAAACAGATATTACTTTTAAGACAAACTTGATCTTGCCGACGCTGTCATCTAGAGTGTAATAGATTGCTTGCCTCATTCTCCACAAATATTATTCTTAATACATTAATTCTTCTACTATATTATTTTGATATGCCACGTGTCCGTTGAATGGTTACCCTCAAGCTGGCTGCCACAGCCGTCATTCATTTGACCTTTAATTTGACCATTTGCACGTTCAACAGCAGTACTAGTATTGTTTAACTTCTACAGAAAGGAAAAGAGGGTGAACTCAAGAAACAGTATAAAGAAGGAAAGAAAAAGGTCAAAGTACAACAAAGACTTATGCTTTTCATGGATGCTGCCTAATTAATTGCATGGTGGGTTTACAAATATGTTTTACTTAAACTAATTAAAAGTTAATGATCCCAAACTTGAGGATGGGAAAAAGGGTGATGAGAGAGTTTCTAAGCCATTATTATTCTTTTCTAGGATGCTTACTAAGGCACCTGATCAAGTAATCTCACCAAGCAAACCAGCACAGGAACAAGAGGACAAGACTGAAAAGTAGCGTAGAAGCAGCAGTAGAAAACATGTCCACTCGCAAGGAACATGTACCAGACAGCAAAACAACAAACTGAAGGCTTCGTAGGAACCCAACCAAACTGGCCACATGCTGACAATTACAACCCCCTTTCCATTATGGTACAAAAACAAAATGCAGAGGGGCCAACAAGGAACATCAAACCTAAAATCTAGCAGCATCCTAGAAGAGTGGTTATGCTGTTAATTGCATTACAACAAAGTAAAAAAACCAGCAATAGTTAATTCAACTTGGGCCGTTTCCCATTGTAGGATGCGTAGTTAGTGACAGCTTTACTGCCTTCTGGCACAGCATGTTTTCCGAGCTCTCCAGGCAAAACTAATCTCACCGCCCCCTGAATCTCCCTTGGAGACAGTGCCCTTCTTTCGTTGCACTTGGACAGCTTGGTCGCCTCATCTGCAATCCTCTCGAACATGTCATTCATCAGGCTGTTAATCACTGACATTGCCTTGGAGGAAATCGCCATCCCTGGATGAACCTGCTTTAGTATCCTGAACACGTATGTCTTGTACGCTTCATTGCCATCGAATTCTTTTCTCTTCCCTCTCTTTCTCTTGCGGTTTTCATTGCTCTCTTTCCGTTCTCGAGTCTTCCCTTTCTTTTCCTCCTTTTTCACTTCTCGTTCTTGGGCCCCTGTCTTTTCCTTCTTTTCATCTTCTTTCTTTAGTGGTGGGTCTTCTACTTCCAAAGCTTTGGGTGCTTCTTTGCTTCGGTCTTCTGAGGCTATGGAGGGCTCATTGCCTGGTTCTTTTTGCGCTTTGTCTTTGCTTGGTTCTTCAGCGGAAACTTGCTGTGGCTCCTGTCCTTTTTGCACTTTGTTTTTGCCTGGCGCTTCCACTGGAACTTGAACTGTGTGCGGTTCTTTTTGCGCTTTGTCTTTGCTTAACCGTTCAGCAGAAATTTCAGTTATTATCCTTTCTTCGTCCTCCGCTATGTCTTCAACAGGAACCGTCTTCATTGGATCTTGTTCAGCACTGTCTCCCTCTGGTTGTTGAACTACAGCTACTTGAACAGTTTCTTGAACAATTTTCTTAGTAGATCTCACTACAACATCTGCTGGACGCTTGGGAGCAATTCTCTTGACTAATGTTACTTTCCTTCCTTTTCTTTTTCCTTTAATATTCGTTTCTCCTCACTCTTCTGCAAACCAACCTCAAAAGTCGATGATTGATTGCCTGGAAGAAGCTTATACCAGTCTTGGACATGGCTAGAGAGTGACATGTGGGAGGGCAGGTGTCACACTGTCAAGCTGTTGCAGTTTTCAATAGCTACGTGGGGTAAAAGTGAAAAGCATTTTCTACAAAGTGAAGATGAAATGGTAAGATGTTTCTGGAGGGATATTCCAAGACTGGCCATAATTGGAGTGTTCTAGATTTCTAGTGATGTACTATAATTTTTCAACCTATCTTTTGTGCAAAAGGAATATTGTGTTGCAGAAAGGGCAAACATGAAATTAAAAATGAAAAGACAAAGGAACTGGTCTTCCAACTTCTAATTCAATTCAAGTTAAATTTTTTATCTTTTCTTTGGAAGTTTTAACTAGCTAGCCTTTCAAATTATTTTGCTTCCGTTCACTATTAGTGTACCTTGATGAACACTAAAAATTTCCCCTGTAGAGGCTTCTGGTGTCCTGCAGCTTGGGTTTCGGGTATTGAAGTGAATCCATTAACAGATATTGCCAAAGACAAATCAAACTCTTCAATGAGCAGATTCTGCTCTAATGTCAAGTTTTCATCAGAGAACCAATCACACACTAAGATCAAGGAAAATATCAGCTGAACTTTAGGGAGACTTTGTGCTAACTGCACTGAATTAGGAATCGATAATTGCTGCCCTTCTAGTCTCTGCAACATGAATTATACCTATTTACACCTCTGTAAAGTGATTGATATATTGAAAAAACCATTTCTGCTATAATTTGTATATCAGGCTCTGTGACACTCACTGTCATTAAGTCTTAAAAGTCGATTTGTAGCATACTAATTGCGTCATGGAAATTAATTAATTACAAAAAGGATAAAAGGGCATAGCACCATTCTCCTCTAGATGTCCAGCAAGGATTTTGAGCAATGAACCTATCGTTGCAGGAGCTGAAGCTTTGCTAAACTTGCTGTTCCTATGACTTCGAGAGAGACTTGAGCCTTCTGTTTTTAATCATTCAAAGGTGACCTCCCCAATATGTGACCCTTCAATGTCCCCAATCATTCCAAGCTTACTGCTATCAGGATTAATCAATTGTTCTGATCATAATCATGGGTTCAGACAAGGCAAAGAAACTACTCTCCCATTTCACTCTTTTGTTTCTATCACACAATCCTGATTCTAAAAGAGAGATAAGATTAAATGCAAACGTTAACAATTTGAAAACCATGCGCCCAAGTGAAACATTGTAAAAAGAATGAAAATAATTTGAGGAAATTGCTCTATAATAGTCTTAAGTTTGGCATTATTAATTCTCATTGTAAAAAGCCATGTGCCATGTTCATGTCAAATGTAAGCTAGAGTGGGGGAAAAAACTACTAACAACAAACAAAAAAGAAACAAAGAAGGGGGAAGGCACATTACTTGGCTTCATGAAAGATTGCAAAATCTAAACAGTCACAACCTGAACTCCCCCCTCGATCAGTACAACTGGAAAAGATCCCTTAGTAATCAGAATCCTATGCGTTGAGAATCTACGTTACTACGCACATATCATAACAAATAGAGAGACGGAAGAAAGGGAAGATTGGAAGCTTTTACAGGAAAATGGGTTTTCATTTTTGAGAGCAGGTTGACATGGTTGGCCCTCTCTTCGAATGGAGCTGAGTGCCAGAAACGACGCAAGCTCCTGCCAAGCTATGCCATTGGCCCCATAAATCAAACCCAAAGTCAGTGCCGGATTTCTATTTTCTGGTGTGCCAGGTACAGTCTTGTCCTTGTCAATTCTTTTGGAGCACTTCGACACAATCCCTTTGCAAATAGGTACAATTTGACCACGTGCGGGTTGTGTTTTGGATAAAAAATTTCTCCTTTCATTTATCCAAAATTTTTAGGTGTCGACATTCCAAAATTTCATTTATCCAAAGTCTTAACAGTGCAATTTTTACCATTGATGATGGATGATAGAATTATGAGTATTGAATCTCTGACGAATGCCAGATATTAAGCAAGCAACTTCCTTGATTCGTCGAATAATATTATATTCTTCTGGGTGTGGCCAAGAGAGAGCATGCAGAGAGACATTGGATGGTTTACCCTGCGTCCCCGTACTCTTTTGAACAAATTTGTGAGGGGAAGAAATACTTGGACACGTGCAGGGAGGCCACACCACATGCTCATGGCTTGCAAAAACAAAATTTAACCCAACTTTTGGGGTTTAAATAATGTCATGTGCTCAGACATATGGGATTGGTTTCAAGTATTTTGAAAGAATATTAAAAAATACACACATATATATATATATATTTAGGAATTATATTTGATGATTTAAACATTGATAACAAGCCAAACGGCAAATCTTATCAATAAACATGAAGGAATATTGGGCATAGAGATCGCAAAATAGCTTGTCCTTATTAGGTTTTGTGCTACCCTAGCTATTTCCTTTATATATACATATATGTGGTACGGCCAACATGTATTTCTTTGTTCAATTTTTATTTTAAAAATATCTTAATAATATGTTATTTTACCATATAAAATATTTTTATATTTTAAATTTGTGAATATAATAAAAACTATATTTTTTAAAACTCTATAAAACTCGGTTAGAAATAAAGAATGTGAGGAGGGAAAGATTAACCTAGCTAATTATATAAAATGAAAGGAGTTAAGAGGAGTTCCTCTAGGTTGCTCACCTTTTGCTATACAAACTAATAAATCTTGAGAAAGAGACAAATCAGCTCCTCCTTTCTTTCTTCCGCCAAAGTAATTATAGGCCTTGACCTTGGTGCGCCGGCCGGAAGCTTGCCATGGTCAGTGTGTGAGCAAGACCTTCATATCAGGAAGCCTATATGTTCCTTTCTTTATACGAAATTCAACTTTCAAAGTATGCATCATTTTGAAATGATGTGCCTCTTTCCATTTATCTAATGAAGTTCACATCCATCTCCATATACTCTATTCCCTTTAGGTGTAAGAAGTTTTCTTCTATCTACCAATACCATTTCTGGAATTCACATGCAACAATATGCCATCCAGAAATGAAGAAAGAATCAGAATTTTGATAGCAAAATCACAAGAATTAATGAAAAAAACCCACCTTGAATTATTAATATTATTATTATTTTAATTTCTCACAATATTTGCAATAGATAAATATGAATAAGAAGAGTAACAGCAGGAAAATTTGATGTAGGAAATGAAGGCTATAGGTAAGTAAGCAACTCCCCCAAGAAAATTCGACATCGAAAATTTACATGGTGATGAGAGATCAATTTCAAGCACTCCTACATCTCCTCTTGATGCTACGAGAGTTAACAGTAGATGGCTCAGATTTTGATCGAAAAAACGACTCTACCTCCTCACTTCTCGTGGTTTCGAAGAACTGCAACTCCGATAATTTTCTCTTGCGGGAATTTGGTCCCACTTTCTTCTTGGGTGTTGGTGGGCAGCTTTGAATGGTTGGTATCTTGTGATCACTCGAAGTTGGCGTTTTGCACTCTTCTTCAACATCTTTCCTCGATGCCACCGCTTCTTCTCCTCCTCCTCCTCCTCCTCCATCTTTTTCAAGCCCTTGTTCTTCTTTTCCTTCTTCTTCTTCTTCTTGCTGTTGTTCACGTTTTTGTAGACTTTCTTGAAGAGTACTATCATGGTGATCCTTGGACATGGAGATGAAAGGCGAATATTAGCTATATAGCTATAGTTAGATATGAATTCTAGGGAAATTGAAACAGTATGTTTGGAAAGAGAGAAAGAGAGAGAAATCTTTTTGAAATTTGCAGCCTTGTAATTTGATTTTCTTTCTTTATCTTTTGAAACAACTTATTGTCTATTGTCTACACAAAATTTCCGCACCTTCACTTCTTTTGTATTTTTCCCGTGTTTATACGTACCGTCTCTTCCACGTCATTTCTCCCTTGGGAATTCTCCTTTTCCTTCATTTAGACAGCCCCTAGACACGACAAGGCAGTGATCCTGTTAAAAATGACTGCCCACCGAAAACATGTTACTGCAACGAAAGGAAACTCTACAATATTATATTCATACTTCTAATGTGAACAGTCCAATCCCAAAATGAATGGTTATAAATTGACATTCAGATCAGCCTTTGACACTTCCCTGTGGTTCTAATTTCATTCTAGTTTTCCTCTTCGGATGGGTAACATGTTGACAGTTGAGAGTCACTACAACACTTGACCCAAGAAGATTTCAGTTGCACCATAATGGTTTTTTCGTTTTACCCCAAATAGTCCAATAATGTAAATGTACAAGTACTTTTTAATTCATTATCAATTGATTTTAAATTAAAGTTTTATATATCCCTTTCTAATTTTGATATTTTTACGTGAAAATGATAATTAAAAGTACATAAAATCTCAAATTTGAAGGTCAAATTAACAAATAATTACAATAATAAGAGGCATTTCAATGAGCAAAAGCATTGGATTCAGAGGGAGAAAAACCTTATCTTTCTCCCTCTTCACCTGTCATGTCAATGTATCTCTCTTGCGCTTGTCTTCATATACACTACGGGCATAGGATACCGTTTGGGACTTGGAAAATAATTCGAGTCTTGACAAAGACGTGGAATTCCCTGGCCATTACAGCCTAAATTAGTAAATTATATAATTTTTCCTCCACATCTTCCAGTCCCCATTCATATCTTTTTAATGGGAAATCCCTTGGTTTTATTAGTAAAACAAAGAGTTTTATGATTGGTGGCTGTGTAAAAAAAAAAAACTAAAGAAAATAAATAGTTTAGGATGACTAAAACTAGAAACTATGAAGGGGTGGGGAACGTAGGCTGTGAACAACAGATCAGGGCAAGGGCCAAAGGGTACACTTCAACAAGCAGTTTCCTTTTTCCTGCTTTCTTTAACATTTTCCTTTGTCTTTCTTTACCTTTAAGTTTGTACCCAATTTCGAAGAGTACCATAAATACATATACTCTGTTGAGTTTACTTGCTTGCTTCAGAAGTTCAGGGCAATTGGTCCCAAATGGAGATCACTCGCTTAATTCTAAAGCCTCTATTTTCTTCTTGTTTTTTTTTCTCTATTTGGCTTTTACTATTTCCATTTTTCACCTCATACAAGGTTAAAAAATTTAATTACCCCATTTAAAAAGTATTATTGGGTGTAAATACAAACATCATACATGCCTTTTGTTACCAATAAATCATACAATTCATAAGGGGTTTTTTTTTTTCCTCTGAATTTTCTGTTACAGGTTGATTGCAATGTTTCGTTGTGACATTAATATAGCACATGCAAGGTTCGAATAATAGACCAACTTTTCTATATATATAAAATAAATGTAATTGAAAGGACAGCACTCCATTCAATTTAGGATGGAAAAATAATCCCAATTAGTCCTCTAGGTTAGACCTTTGTGTCTCTTGGGTTTTTTTTTCCCAATAAATTAAAAAATCAAGAGGAAGATTTATTTTTTATTGCATGTGTACACGTGTGTATATTATTTATTTAAGAAACAATAATTTGAATAATTAAATAAATTTGATGTACAATTTCATATTAAAAATAGAATATATATATATATATATATATACACAAATATACTTGCGTATGAGAGGGGATGAGAATTAAAAATTATTAAGTACCTTGCATTGGGGTGCGGCAGGAATACATAATTTTAGGGTGTCTAAATCTTCTCTATCCAATTTTGGTGTCTATTTATAATATATATTATATACATAGAGGAAAACAATAAAAAAAATTGATACATAATTAAAAAGCAAAAAGAACCTTAAAAGATTATTCAATATTATAAGGAAGTGGGCATGGATCCCCTGAATGTAATAATACTAATAATAATAATAATAAAATTTGTATTTATTCATCTTATTAAACTAGAAAATTTTAAACAAAATATAATAACATAAATTGGGATGAGTGACGTTTTAGGATTATTTATAAATTGTTTTTTAATTAAAGAATTTATATTGATGTTAAGGTGATCTTGTGATTTAACGAGTGATAAATAATTTCAATATTTTTAACATAGGTATTTTTAAAGTGATCCGTAATTTTATTTTGAACTAATTATTACTATATATTTTATTCCAAAAGTTATAACTGACACCATCTAGTTATATTTTGACACGTCAGATAATCTTAAAATTTTGTGTTTTCGGTTGTAAGCTGGGTAACACTTGATTATTTTACTTTGGCTTGACCATAGCAGCCAAACTTCACCGGCGTTGATATCAATGGCATCACCCCTGACAACTGCTGCAGCCGCATCTCCGTCAATCCCATCATTCAGTCTCTCTGCACAACTTTCTTCCCATCCTAACTTCAACGGCCACCTTGAATATGCTTATCTCCATTTTCACATAAGAACAGAAATTGGACTTGAAGAGGGTGTAATCTGGTATGCTATAATTTAGTATTTGCAGATGAAAATAACTGATGTGGCAGAAGATTATTGGATGGTGTAAATGATGGTTTCTATACCACATCGAATAGAATTTTCAATCAATTTGATCCGTCATATTTAAAAGTCAAATAAATTAAATATTTTTTAAAAATTAATAATAACAATTAATTATAAAATAAGACAAAATTAACCAAATATCAAATTGATTCGGCTGATTAAGTTTTGAATCAAAAGAATCCAAATTTTATATTTTTTTATAAATTATAATATTAAAATTTATAAACTTCATTTATAATTATAAAATATAAAATAAAAATTAATAATAAAAATATATATTTTATATAAATTTAAAAATAATATTTATTAATATATATAATTAATTTGATCTTTGGTTGGTTCGATCTAAAAATTTTAAAACTGAAAATTTATCAAATAAATTAATTAGATCAACCTTTTTAGACGAATAGATCCAATGAATTAATTAGATCAAATTCTTTTATTTAAATTGTATTTGATTTAATTGAGTAATTGGTCTAGTATAATTTTACGCACTTCTATAAAATATGTTAAATATTTATAAATTGTAAGAGTTAAACCATAAAAGATGTTTTGTTTTGAAAAACTTGATAATTAAATTTCAAATAAAATAATAAATGAATGAATTAAAATATTTACCAACAATACGAAATAAAACTTAAAATTTCATGAGAAATAAAACGTAACAATAAATGAATTCTGATGTAGATGTATAGCTTTTTTTTAGTGTTCTTGAATTTGATATACTGTTAATTGTGATTTATATTTATGATAATGAAATATTGTTTATTTTAATTATTATTTTAAAAAATTATAAGATTTAGATTCGACCTTAATTAGACTGATCATGATAAAAAATATTTAGAATCGATCTTACATGAATGATTAGGATCCCAAACTTTAAGATTACCCGGACCATGCTCACCTTTCATATAAATATAATTCATATAAGATTATGAGTAATTCATATGGTAGGAAGCCTTCATTTGTTGATATTGTTTTCATCTTGTTCATCTAGAAATTTGCAACTTGAAGTAGCACTTAAGTAATTATACTATCTTTTGGTTTGAGTTTTGTCTTTTAAGCATTATTAAAGACTATATTGTTTAAGTGTTTTTAAAGATATTACTTAAATTATTAATTGTCAATAAACAGATTAAGTTTCAATAAATGAATATATATAGATTAATATTTTTTAATATATTATACCATTATATAAGGTGTCTCTCATTTTCCTCGATGATCTAACTTTCTTTATAATAGTTAAATTGTTTGGAGAAAGGGTTAGAATTAAATTAAATTTTTGGTTTATTTTGGACAATATTAGTAATTATTATTAGAATATTATTCCTGACCCACCATATTCTGATCTTTTTAACAACTTAATCTAGTGCATATACATGCCTAATTAATTTATTTATATTAGCCTGTTATTATTGTCATTAAAATTAAGCATGATCTCAATGGACGATTTTGATGATTGCAAACCGTCCATATAGAGTTGGTCTTAAAAATTTTAAATCCTAAATAGATCCATGACTGTTTAAGATCCACTTTAAGATCAATCTTATGATTCTTTGTGATTCAAGATCGATCTTAAAATTTATAATTTTTTAATATATTAAGAAAATTCTGATATCATAAATGTAAATTACAATAGGATAGAATACTAAATTCATGAATAAAAAAAAATTAAACATTCCCATTACAAAGTACAAACATCCAATAAGTTTATTTAACTATGACGTGAAATTGAAAAAGTATTACAATTCAAACATTGTAGTGCACATATTCATTGACTTACGAATAAGTAAAAGCACATTAATAAAAAAGTTAATAAGATAGTTTATGTATATTTTTTAAAAAATATGCATAAATAATTTAGAATCGGTTCAAAAATCAGTCTTATGATCCAGTCCTTCAGTTAAGGATGGGTGAATAATTATTTAGGATCATGGGTCATTTTAAAAGTGTTGTTCTTAAAAATATTGAATAATGAATCATCTATCAAATCATAAGATAATCTTAAAAATCAATGTAAATTCATCTGTGTACTATGCTTTTGTTTGAGTCTTGTTTTTTAAGCATTATTAAAGTATATATTGTTTAAAATGTTTTTAAAGAAATTGTTCAAATTATTGTCCATAAACAGAGTAAGGTTAAATAAATGGATATACATTAATAGATTTTAATGTACTGTATTATTATATAAAGTGTCCCTCATTTTCCTTGATTGATCTAACTTTCTTTATAATTAAATTATTTGGAGAAAGGGTTAGTAATAAATTTTGTTTTATTCTGGATAAAATTAGTAATTATTATTAGAATATTATTCCTAGCCATAATTTGAACTTTTTAACAGCTTAATCTAGTGTAAATGTATGCCTAATTAATTTATGCATATAAGTCAATAGGATTATCTAGATAGACGGTTTTGAAGTTAGGATTGCAAACCATTGATATGGAGTCGATCTTAAAAATTTTGGATCTTGGATCAATCCATGACCCTTTGAAATCCACTTTAGGACCAATCTTGTACACTTCAATATTGCAATTTAGAGTAGGTCCTAAATTTTATAAAATTTTAATATATAATTAAAAAAAATTTAAATTACAATTAAATAATATATTAAATTTGTGAATACAATTTAAAAATAAATTTATATTTGATGCATTGATAGTGTATCATTTCTATACACTTCAATATTGATAGTGTCATGTCTTTAATGAATAAAAATAAAACCTTGAAAATAAATATAAATTTGTTTCTATTTTTTACTGTTTTCTTTAAACTCTTTTACAAATTTCTCTCAAACTTCCTTTTTTTCTGGAGACTTGGCACTTGGAAATTTGAGGTTGCGCTTGATTATTACATTTCTCTGATCAATCATTCTCTGTTCATTGTTATAAAGAAAAACAAAAATAAAGAAAACACCTCAATTATTCGTTCTTCCAATCGGGGAAGAACAAAGAAAACAATTGGACCTGTACTTTTCCTTTCTTTTCTTTTTTCCTTTAAAAAGACAAAAGGAGGAACTGGGAAGAGAAGAACAGAAGAAACTAAGGAGGATAAATTGAACAGAAAACAATGAGAATTTGGAGGAGAGGACAAAAGTTTTGGGTGGGGGGGAAGAGATCTCCCTCAGAAAGAGACAAAAGGAGAGTTAAGACATAATATTTAATTAAATCCTCATGAATATTATAAAAAATGAAACAAGTCTGCTCAATATGGGAGACAGCTTTTTTTTTTTTTTTAATTTCTGAAAATTTTTTCGAGAGTGTTGAAATTGAAAGAGAGAGGAAAGCAAGGCCGGCGGTACTACGTGGGAATGGTATACGTAAGAGTGATGGATATCTAACTTTGCACTTTCTTTCTTCTTCAGTTCGTGGTTACAGACCTGGTTATGGCTAACAATAACTTTTTTCCCTGTTAAGTTTGGATTGATAATATGTCGAACAAAGAGGATATTGGAAGGTTGCTTTCAAGAAAGTTAATATTAGGAAGTTTAGTGTTAAGAATTTTTTTGTTAGTTTATAATTTTAAATTTTTTTACCCATAAAGAAAAAAATAAATTTTTTGCATATGTTCTTACAAATAGATCAAAGGGAAAGAGGTTTTACTTTGATTTTAATGACTCTGTTTACGGGGAACAAGAGCATGAAAAAATTATATTTTTTTATTTGATTATACAAAAAACAATTTTTTCTCTTATTTATTTTCAAGATTTTAAATAATTCTATTTTATTATTTATTAATGATGTGGCACTTTGTGATTATAATTTTTTTTAAAAAAGTCAAACATCCACATTGCAAAGTACAAACATCTAATAAATTTATTCAATTGTAATGTGAAATCGGACAACGTTTCAATTCCAAAATTGTAGGTTACATATTCATTGACTTACAATAAGCAAATTAACAAAAAAGTTAGTTGGATAATTTATGTATATATTTTTAGAATGTGCATAAATAATATCGAATTAATGTTATGATCTAGTCTTTCGTTTAGGAATGGCTGAGTAATTATATAAGATCATGGACCATTTTAAAAGTATTATTCTTAGAAAAAAAATTAAATCACGAATCACCCATTAAATCATAATCACCCTAATATCGATCTGAACCTATTTGTACAAAATAATTCGTAGCTGATCCGTGCTCATCTCTAATTATCAAACCGCGATATTATTTGCGATCGAAAATTAAGTTTAAGTAATATGCATCTTTTAATAAACAATTTGCAATTCTCTTTCCATAAACTTGGACACATACAAATTTATGGCGAGCACACCAAAGTAGGTAATAGGAATAATTTTCCCCAAAAGCCACGTTATAAATAATTTTAGTGAAAAAATTTGTCCTTTAGCCTCATATGTTGTGGAACGCTTCATTAAACCAAACAGTTAAGCAAAAGCTGAGCTGTTTTTGCTTTATATAAAAACCGTTCATGTTGTGCATACGTAACATTTACACCTAGCATGTATCCAAGCATTAATGCACCATTATTGAGCCCTAAGTCAGCCACCCTCCTTCCCCAACCCCTAAATGTAACTTATACCTAATCTTTGTCTAAAGCTCTTGTATTGTACAGTAGGAGAAATTATTACAGAGATCTCTTTATCGTTTCCGTTATCAAGTCAACACCTTAAAATGCAACATGTAATTAAAATGTACCGCACATTTGTCAATATTATAATAAAATGATTATTATTAAACTTGTGGATTAATTTATATACGTTGATATGATAAATTTTAATGCCTGTGACATATCCTAAGTAATTAATTCTATAACTATTCGAAGGATCTTTATAATAATCGATTACTTATACATATAAAACCCTTTTAAATGCCCTTTTGTTTTAGGGCATTGACCGCCCATGTGAGGAATGAGCTGGATAAATCGTATGGCAAAGGATCAAAAGGCCTTAAGGCCGAAGTTTATTAGGATCCGAAAGGTGCCCTATGAGGGATGCCTTTTCTTCTCCTTGAATTAGAATGAGCTGTATTAGGCGTGCCCCTGTACATTTCTTGTGGGCTTCCTTCACGCAATTCTTCTTCTTCTTTTGATGGCAACCTACTCGGCGCAATTCCTTCTCTTCTTCGTATTGTTACTTCTTCCTCATCCTTGTTGCTTAAAAGAAAGCTCGTGTCCCCGTTTTTCCTCGTACCTACAAGCTTTTAATAATAGTATAAACAGAATTCAACTTCGTTTTCAAACAATCCTTTACCTAGAAAAGCAATAACTTGACATAATAGAAATCGAAAGACCCAAGACGATTAAATGAATAATTTTGACTAACAACATATTAATCAAATAACTGTTAAACTTTTAAATATTTTGAAATTTGAAATCGAATCTCCGGACGATAATTTCATTATCATTAAAATAATTTAGAAATGATAATGTAAAAATAATCCATCGAACAATCAAAATTACTAACTAGTTAGGTGTGAGTTTTGGCTCTGTCTATCATGAATCAAGTATCATAGCAATGGCATGATGTTCTTCTATCCAATCTAGCATAGGGTAACAGCGTGATGCAGATGGAAAAAGTTTGAGCAGATATTTGAAGGGAAAATGAAGAGAAAAAATTCAAAACTAACCTTACATCCCAAAGAACAGAAACGAAAGGGATCCAAAAGACTTCTGCTACATATTTCACACAAATGAGAGACCCCTTTGCTGCTGCTGCTGCTACTACTCTTCGGTTGGGGTCTCTCATTTAGGAAAAGAACTCTTGCACTGTTTATCACATAAGTTTGCACTCCACTTATATCCAAAACCTTTTGGATTTCAGCAACTCTGACAACATCATGGTATGATGACCGCCTGATCTGCATTAATCCCGTTTTAGACAAATTTCACATTGGACAATATACAATAATGACAAAATTTTTATGAAAATAGAATTATATATATGCACCTGAATTACAAGATGATCTTTGTGTCTTGAGGATCGGCAATAGAAGCAAAATGCATCATTCATGCAATCCAGGCAATACATATTACATTCGTTTCGCGGTGTGTCTCTATGTCTTGGGCAGATGGTGAAGAATGCAGTCGATAACAATGATTCAATCCATGGCGGCACCTTCGTTTCTTCCTGGTTTGGAGTCCAAAGAAAAACCAAAACTACTGATCAGTCGATCAAAAAAAAAAAAAAAGGAAATGGGCATGCAGTTTCTTTTGTGAAAAAGGAATCTAATAATGTTTGCATTACCATTAACAAAGATGATTAAATGCAGAAATGGAGGTGCCTCTCTTAAGAAAAGAGAGAGAGAAGAGAAGAGGAGAAGAGTTTAAAAGAACCTGAAAACGCAACATAAGATTCATCAACAAAACAATGGGGATTAATTAAAGGACAAGTAGGAGGGGGCGCATAAAAAATGTGTTAAAAAACTTTGTATCGTAACGGTTCGGATTAAGAGATGGTAGGTTAAAATGGGTTTGGGACCGTTGGATATAATGGAAAGAACAAAAAAAGAAAGAAAAATTTAATGAAGGTTTCTTTTTATGAGCTTACGCAATGCTTTGGTTCTTCTTTGCGTCTCTTGGTAAGTGACAACAAAATCGGTGTATTGCATTTGGGCGGGTCAAGCCCCTTTTAGAAAAAGTTAAAATAGACAGCCTATTTCTTCCCAAAAAAAAAAAAAACAATTAATAATATTAGGATTCATCAAAAACACGAAAAAAAAAGAAGAAAATCCCATGTGCAGTGCATGTGTGTTAATGCGCTAGACATGGCAATTAAAAGTTTAAATATTTACCAATTATGGTATTAATTTGAATCTAAAATCTTTTGGCATAATTAAGTATAATTACCTTTTTTCATAGTCAGGGTGATAAATTTTAATTCAGTTTTGCAAATTCAAAATGCTTCAAAAATTTTAATTAATAGTGTAATTTACTTTTGTTTTTTAATATTATAGGACTAGTAGTACCACTAATAACAATCATAAACATTGTTCTTAACAACATAAATTCCACCGAAGGAATAATAGCTGTGGTGCCAACTATGCTACAATTGAGACTGTAATGTTTTTCACTCATTGGATTAAATTGTTTATCGTTTCATTGGAAGAGAAGAGGGATAGGCTGGAAAGCTTTGTTTGGTGGGTAAGAAACTAAGGACATGCATATACTTTAATTTATTTTGAATCAAGACTAAGAAAGAGAGACATATTCCAAACAAATCCTATGTTGTTCTTTGATTTTGAATATATTATTGATTAGAACGGTATACAAAATTCTTAGACAAAATATCTAAAAATATTTTAAAACTATTTTGAAATTTTAAAATAAATTTTTATTTTTTTATCACGTTCAATTACATTTTTATATTTTAAATTTGAACCGAATAAGTCTTTATATTTTTATTTTGAGCCAAATAAACTTTTATTATTAATAGTTGGCTTACTCAAAATATTACTTGTCATTTTATATCATATGATATTAATATAGCATGTTGATTTGGCATTGTGATATGGTCATGTGATATTTTTTACCTTTCATATTAGTGTCATATTAGTATCACGTGAAGTTAAAATGACAAGTGATATTTTGATTAATTAATAATTAATTAATTATTAGTTATAAAAACTTATTTAATTCGAAATAAAAGTATAAGAGTTTGATTGAATAGAATAAAAAAATAAAAATTTATCTAAATTTTTAAATAATTTTTTAAAAATTATGTCAAATTCTTAACATTTGCTATTCAAGAGTGAGTTATAAAGCAAAAAATATGGGAAAAGAAAAGAAAAGAGGATAATCTAGCCATGAGAAAACTATTGGGAGGCTTGATTTTGAGTTATGCTGAGGTAAGCTAGCTTTTGCTTGAGCTGCCAATGTTTAGATGGATGAATCCCTTTATGTACAAAAGAAGGAGCGTGAGGCTAGCAACAATAGGAGGACATTAGGGACGAATAATTAATTGGCAAATAAAGCAAATAGTGAATCTTAGTATGGGTGGGAACGAGGAAGAATTATATTTTATTATATAATTTAAAATTAAATAATTTTTTATATGTAAAAAAATTAATTTTGATTAATAATTTAATTGATTGTTTGAGATTAGAAGCATAAAGAGGGGTCATTTCTTTACTTTTTGGCTTTTTAGTAACAATACGTCAAGCTCAATTTAATTCGAAGCTAATGATCTCATACCCTAAATCCTAATAATATATTAAAAGTTGAAGTTTCAAAGTATTAAAGTTTCAATATGCGAACGGCATCGCAAGTTGTTGTTTTTTTCAAATAAGTCTAGCAAAAATTCGATGAATTAAAAATAATAATCGAAGAGGTTTATTATGTCATCTTTTAAAAAAATTCATGAATTTTTTTTGTGACTGCGTGTTTAGAAGAAAAAAATTGATATAATACTTAATTTTTTTAAAAAAAATTAAATAAATTTTTATTTTTTATTATGTTCAATTAAATTCTTATATTTTTATTTTAAATCAAATAAATTTTTATAATTAACAATTGATTAACTGTTATTAATCAAAATATCACTTATCATTTCATGTCACGTGGTGTTAACGTGACATGTTAACATGTATGTAGATGACAATGCGATTACGTGATATTTTCATCTTCCATATTATTATCACATGAGTATAAGTTGATATGTCATTTTGATTAATGATAATTAATCGATCATTAATTATAAAAATTTATTTGATCTAAAATAAAAGTATATGAGTTTATTGCAAGAATATGGATTTATTTAATTTTTTTAAAAAATAATTCAAAAACTTTTCAAAATATTATATCAAAAAATTTCAACTAAGTCATTATTTACAAAAAATATGAAAATGATAGATACTTACTTCTTATTCTTGTTAATAATCCGATAAACCGGACTCTCAAAACCTTTAAGAAATTTCATTTGTAAAATAAGTAATTTTGAATATTACTTGTTAATTAATTTGATAAACGTAGAGATAATAACTTAATAAAACTTGTTATCATAGAAAAAAATGAGAGAGAATGAGAGAGAATTAGGGTGTGAATCTAGCAAGAAGATTGGCAAGAAGACTATAAAGGGGTAAGGCTAACGAAAAGGGCAAGGGAACTAAGGTTACTAGAGAACAAAGGCAATGGAAGATTGAACAAGGATATGGATAAATGGAGAAAAAATGTCTTTTCGGCTTTGTTGACAACATCAACACAAGAGTGCTATGGAGGAAGCTTAAAGGTTTCTTTGACTAGTTTGGAGTTGTTGTTGATCTTTTCATCCGAAACATAACAGGGATCAAACTACACAGTTTTCCTTCGTAAGATATAGGTATCGAGAAAAGCTTAACAAAGTAATTTAACTAGGACAAAATATGATGGTGGATGAAAGGTTTCTGTATATCAAAGAAGTTGATAAGCTAAGGAAACTTAATGGTGAAAAAAAAGGGAGATCTGAGGGGTTAAAGATGGGTGAGAAGTTAGGAGCATGGCAAAGGTTATACAAGGAAATGGCTAAGAGCAGGGGGAAAAATATGGTGATAAAAGAGAATGGGAAAATTGAGAACAAAGAATCTAAACTAGAAATTAAGTAAGAAACCAAGTGGGTGGAAGGGACAAGTGTGGGTATAGAGGAAGGGATAAGCGTGGGTATAGAGGAACATGATATTGAATGGCTAAGGAGGAGTGCAGCTTGTGAGTTGAGGGAACCACTAAGTTACAAAGCCATTTAAAGCTCTTTGTTCAGGACGGGAGTCATAGCCTACATAAGGCCAAGGTAGGGCTCAATGTTATCATCCCTTTTGAGACCAGGGATGATATGAAGATTTTCATGTACTACTTAAGTAAAATCTTCGAAACCTAATTTGTTGACATCAAACCGTATAGCCTAGATTACGATGAGAGAAAATATAAAGTGTGGATCAAGATTAAAGAGCTATCAGCTCACTTATAGAATAAAAAAATCTTCGAAGCTTTGGGTGAGAGTTAAAGGAGAATTTTGGGTGTTGATAATGCTGTAAAGAATATGAGCAAGTTTGATCATGCGATTATTAGAGTGGAGGTGTCAAGTAAGAAGGGAGTGGTGGCTTGTCCACAGATAATTGTCAATGGGAGAAAAATAACATTGAAGCCTATAATCTTTCGGAAAGAGTCATCTGATTTTGATAGGGTGATATCGTAAGGTGGAGTTAAACAGTGAGAAGTTACTCCAGAATCATCAAGCTCGATGAGTCAAGGGAGCTTTAAGGAGGACGAGAAAGAAGAAAGGGGAACTGTCGATGAAGCTGATATGGATCATATCAGAACACAAATGGTTGAGATTAAACCAAAAGTAAGAAAGATGGAAAAAGTATGATAGAGAGGGATAGAGTGGTAAAAGAGAGATATCAAGCCCATATCTTAACGGGGTAGGGGAGATCCCAAGGATAGGCAGTGGAAAGGAGAGATCGAACCTAAGGAGGGAAATTCAAAATTGTTGAAAAGGACAAACATGGGTCAGAAGATTGAGAGGGACTCATACAAACGGGGTCCTCATAGCCCAAAGGATAGTGGAACATACTCTAGGCAATTTTGAGTTCAGGAGAAAAAGCCAAATGAAGGATCAAAGGCCATAGAAAGGGCAAGTAGGGTAATGAGCCAGGAAAATATTGATCTTGAAGTTAACGAAGAGAAAATAAGCACGGAATGGGCCAATTGTGAAAGTGAGTCAAGACAAATGGGTCTAGTCTCAAATAAAAATAAGAAAAAAGAAAATTAGGCGGATGGTTTAGCGATGGGACAAGAGAAAACATCAACAAAAAAAAAAGATAAAAGGCATTGGGTTAGAAGAGGTTGGGTGAAGGCACATGAGATAGAAAGTGAAGATATTATCATAGTAACTAGAAGAGATAAGGAAAGAAAGCAGAAGAATCATGCCTAAGTAGCAAAGAGACGTTATTATTGACTAAAGATGAGGGAAACTGATGCAGGGAAGAAATAGAAAATAAAGGTGAGAGTATTTGGAAGGGTAAACTAAAAGATCTAGGGTTGACAATATTAAGAGATTTGGTATTAAAAAACTTGATTAAAAGGGAAAAGCGAAAGAAGATAAGAAAGTAAAAAATATAAATCAAGAACTCCATAATAAGGAAAAGGACGGATCAGAGCAAGAAAAGTGAAAGTCAAGGTAAAGTAAAGGTAAAACATATTAAGAAAGAGCAAAAAATAGTAAAAGAAGTTTAGGAAAGGAACCAAAGATGAATTGAGCAAAGTAGTGATAACAGGATAAGGAATAACAATATGGAAGTTGAATCAAGAGTTAAAGTAGTAGAAGATAAGCTATAGAAAAGAAAATTGAAGACGAAAAAGTAAATAAAAACAGTTTTAAAAGAAAGCAAAGAAGGTAACTTTGAGCAGAGGAGGTATGAAAGAATTAATGGAATTTACTCTGAGACTAAACTAATGAACGAAGTAATGTGGTGGGAGGCAATAACCATAATGGACATAAGTAGTAGTCTTGGGCTAGAATTCAGGGCAAAAAAAGAGGAAGTCCTTAAGGTGTTTACGGATCTGAAAGTTGCAGGAGCCATACGGTAAGGACATGGAGGAAGTTGAAGGTAATGGTATGATGAGATGAGTATGGTTATTTTTATGATTTTATTAATTTGGAATATAGAAGGGATGAGGCAAAGGGAGAAAAAAAAGAGCTTTGAGATGACAGATAAATAAAGCGAAGCCAAATATGGTCTTTATTCAAGAAACAAGGCTAAAAAATGTGCATGATGGACTGTTTGAAAGGCCATGGCCAAGAGAGTATGTATATGGTAAAGCATTGGGGTTTGAAAGGAGGTTAGGGGGTTTAATATAAACGTTTGGCAGGATAGTTTCTTTCAATTAGAAGAGAGTGTAGTACATTGGAATTTCATCATGTTAGTAGCAATATTGAAAGGGGATAACATTAGGTATGGATTTGGTAATATATATGCATCAAATGATGAATAGGAAAGGAAAATAGTGTGAGAAAAAATAAAGCAGATTATTGGGGGATCTAAAATTAGATGGGTTTTAGGGGGAGACTTCAATGTGGTAAGGAGAGAGGAAGAAAGAATTGGAAGGGGAGACATAGAGAAAGTTGATGCAAAATTTGACGAATTTGTTAATAAGGTGGGGTTGTTGGACTTGTCGATGGTTGGTGGGAAGTTCACCTAGTATAATAACAAGGAGGAACTAGGTTTCAATCACCTTGATAGGTTCATTGTTGATGTTAAAATTTTGGAAGTTGAGAATAAGATGATCCAAAAATATATGCTAGAATTGATATCGTATCACAACCCAATTTTGCTAAGACTAGGGAAAGTGTATTAGGGCCCTAAGCCATTTAAGTTCTTTGATTACTAGATGGAGGATAAAAGATTTCGTTTAATAGTGACAATTATTGGGATGGGGAAGGAATTAGGAATTTGAGAAATAGGGCTTATGGGAAAAATTAAAATGACTAAAATTTGTGTTAAAAGGGTGGCAAAAAAGGGTTTTGGAAATGTTCAAGAGAGGATAAGCAAGCTGAAAATGGAGATTCATAATACAAATGAGAGAATTCAAAGGGATGAAGGAGGCTTGGGACTTAGCCAAGAAGTGGTGAGTAAAAGAGTTGGTTTATGCGAAATGTATAAGATTGCAAATAAAGAATGATAGCATAAATCAAGGACCAAATAGGTTGTTGACTAAGATTGGAATATCGAATATTTTCATGCAATAGCTTCGGCTAGAAGAAGGAAGAATTTCATCCATCGGTTGAACATATGGAAGAGAGTCATTACGGATTTGGATGGAATTAAGGAGGTTGTTGTAGGATATTATGTCGATTTTTACAAGAAAAGGAGGTTATAGAATTACAAAGCTTAGGCAACTGTTTTAAAAAATTGAGTGATGAGGTATTGCTTTCTTGGAGAAGAAAGTAATGGAAAAAGAGGCTTGGGAGACGATATGTAGCTGCAATGGCAACAAGGCTCTCGGGCTCGATGGTTATAATCTTGGCTTGTTTAAAAATCAGTGGGGGTGGTTAAAGAAGAAGTTATGAGACGCATGCAAATGTTTTTCTAGAAAGGAAAGATCAAGAACGATGCAATTAATTCCTTTATTACCCTTATTCCAAAGATTTTAAACTCAATTGGTATTTCGAAGTATAGGCAGATAAGCCTAGTGTGGAGTCTCTACAAAATTATCTCGAAACTTCTAGCAAACGGTACTAATGGGCTTGAGATATCTTACTTGCATGTCACCGACAATACCATAATTTCTACAAACCGGAGATTCGAGGACTTGTAAATGTTAAATGGATTTTAAGATGTTTCCAAGTCATTTCAAGATTGCAAATTAACTTTCACAAAAACAATCTAATTGGTGTAGGGGTGCATGATCAAATGGTTAGAAAAGGAATAGAGAATTGCTTGTAGAATGGGAGATTTTAAAGAAGAGATTCCCAAGGATTTATGCATTATCAAGCAATAAGGATGGGCACATTTGGGACTATGGGAGGTGGGAGGGGGAGAGATATGTAGAGAATGTGAGTTTTAGGCTACAACCGTGTAGGTGGAAGGAGCAATAGAATCAATTTGAGAGAAACAATCGAGGAATATCATTTGAATGAAGAGCTGGAGGATACGCTTGCATGAAAAGGGTCAGCTACAGGATAATATAGTGTTGGCTCTTTTTGCAAACAAAATCTTCTTCAAGGAAGCAGCAAGGAGAATGTGTGGAAAAGGAAATGGCCCAACATTGCCTCTATCGAATTGAGGTGTTTTGTTGGCAACTCCTACACGAAAAGGTGGCTGTCAAGTTTCAACTTACGAGAAGAGGGTTGGTAAGCTATGAGGCAGCTGGTTGTGTACGGTGCCAAAAGGACAGGGAAACGGTTAATCACTTGTTCCTTCATTGTGAAGAGGTATGGGGAGTTCGGACGAAATGCAGTGAGCGGTAGGGAGTAGTTTGGGCGGTATCGAATGGGGTTAGAGAGTTCTTTAATATGTGGAATACAGTGGTCACTAGGTGAGGAGAAGGACAGATATGAAAAATGGCTTTTTATGCAGTCTCACGATCGATATGGCTACAAAGAAATGAGGTTATCTATAAAAGAGCCAAATGGGTTATGAATCAGGTGTGGGAAGCCAACAGCTATGAGGTAGTCCTCAACACTTACCGAAATGCATCACTTTAGGGGGCTTTGAAGGAAAAAAACGAACAGGGTTGTGGACCAAAGGGAGTCTTGGAGAGGCAGAGATAGGGGAGCCACAAGGGATGATAATGGACACGTTTAAATTATGTTTTCAAAGCCCATAGGATGGGTGATGCAAGACTGGTAGAAATAAGAGCTATTAGAGGCCTCCATCCTTTTCATTGCCTCAAAATGAGGTCAAACTCATTCACTGGTCATCGAGAGTGACTCTTGCAGTGCTGTGAAGTGGGTAAATCAGCCGTCCGATGGACCATGGAGATTGAGAAAGTGTATCGTACATATAGAGAGGCTAAAAATGGATGTCAAGAGCTGGGAAGTTAAAACACATTTACAGAGAGAATAACCAGCCTGCCGACAGACTTGCAAAAGCAGGGGTCCAACGCACAGAGGAGCTCATCAATGTCCTGGAATAATTGTGTTTGGTTATTTTTCTTGGGTATTTTGTTGGAAGGTAAATCAGGAACTCAAAAGCGGATAAAGAGAAAAGGCATGTGAAACTATAATTGTGGGGCTTTTATGTTGAGAAATTGTTACTGCTGGGTTAGAACCATCGAACAGGTTTGAACATAAAGCAGGAATTGGTTGTACGTTTGTGATGATGATTTTTGTAATTAGTTACGTAATGCATGTACAGGCAGGGGTAATGAATCATGTTGATCAGATGAATGCTTTTATTTTGGGTACGGGAGTTGTTAAGCTTTGCAAAGTGTATGTTAATTAAACAAGGGGAGTGCGATGCTTATGCTGGTCACTGGAACCTCTATGGGAGATCAGGATATCTGTTATGAATGTACAGAGGGCTGCTACCGTTTTTTGTTGCGATGATTCTGATCTGTTACTCTTTCCTTTTTGTAATTTCCTCGAGGTGAAGGAATTGGTTCCCTCTGAAATGAATATATTATTAAATTTAAAAAATTAATAAAATATTACAAATTGTTGTGTGTTTTATTATTTCCATTTGCGCATACCGGTTAGCTAGAAAGACAGACTACGATGACCCTACAAATACGGAAAGTCAACCGGCTTCACATCAAGTTAAAAGCCGCCGAACCTGAACAAAAAAAAAAAGGAAAAAACACTCTGAGGGTCCCTTGTTTAACTGTTTCTTCGCTCACAAAAACCCTAAAGAAGCCCCGATCCACTCACTGTTTCATAGATATGGCAAGGGCGGCTCTTCTCCATTTGTTAAGACACCGCTCCGTCGCCCCCACCACCGCACCTCTCTCTGCCTATAAATGCGTAAGTTGCTAATGCCTTGTTTTTTTTTTGCTTTTGGTTATTTCATGATTCATTTGATTGATTAAGTATTTCCGTTTTATGGTTCTTTAATTGTTTAAGCAGCTGTCTAGGAATAGTAAGACACCATCAGGGATTAAGTGGACCAGTTTTTGCAGAGCTTTCAGGTTCAAGGGATTTGGATTCTTTTTTCTTTTCTTTTTGGGTGGGTTGTTGGCGTAAGTTTTGAATTGATTTGTTGTTGACCATGCATGTTGTTTGTTTGCTTAGTTCAAAAGCTGCTGTAAATGATATTATTGGCATCGATATGGCAAATACAGATTCAGGTGTTGCGGTCATGGAAGGAAAGGTATGAATGAACGATATGTGGAAGTTATTGTTGGTTTTTCATGTCATTTGAAGTTGTTTAAATTTTCTCATATGATATTTGAACAAGATACTAGGGTAAAGATCAGCCACATCAGCATGTCTCATTTATATGTTGAATGTCTTTTGAAATCCAGATTTACATATCTATGCTATAAGTGTCACAACTTCAGTTATGTCCCAGGGTTGAACTCTTTTTCTGATTTTGGGAGAGTGTAACGAAAAGAGGATAGTTTCTTTTAAATGGCATTCTTGCTAAATGAGAGGTAGGTTTTTCCTAAGATGAGAAATTGATGTTCTTAAAATAGTTAAATCTTCGGGCTTATATGGCTCCTATGTTACAGAATTGGGTTATGGCAGATAGAGGAAAATTTTCCTGTGGTGGTCCTCAAGGCCCTCTCATTTGTTAACGTGAATTTCTTGTCTTTGGGAGATTGCTCAATAGCAATAATGGAAGTCTGGCATGGTATTCAATCATGGTTGGAGTTCTAACTGCTGCTTCTTCCTAGATGCTTTCATTCATTTTCAAATTTAATTTTCTCCTATAGGCAGGTAATCTTTGCTGTTTAGACATAAGAAATGCATCGAAGCTCATCACATCCTGGTTTTCTATTTGAAGCTAATCAAAACATATTAAAATCATAAATTATAAAGCATTCTAGAGTGTATATCCAAGGAAGTTGATACTTTGATTCCCAAAAGGACTAATGGTTGAGAAAATGCCTAACATCATCTGGAAAAGTCCTCTTATTTTTAATTGTTGTTGCGCATAATATCTTACTAACATACTTCAATTCTGTCCTGGAAGAACTATGCTGTTTCTTCTCCTATTCCTCCTTTTATATCTTGTTTTTGTTTAGCACTCTATTGAGATAGTGGGACATTTTCCAGGAACGACTAGACCCATTTTCACTTGTTGCTGATGAGCTATCACTTATTGCTAACAGACTTCGGTCAATGGTAGTTGCTGACGTATGTAAATGTTCTTTTTCCTCTCTTTTAACTAAATTTTATTAGTTTTCCCCTTTTCTGCTGTCAAAAGGAAAAGATGTTGCTATCTTCTGATGATAGCTGGATATCCATTTCTTATAGGTTTCTAATCTTGCTTCAGCTGCTGAGTACTTCTTCAAAATTGGGGCAGAAGGAAAGAGGTTTCGTCCCACGGTAATGCAGTAATGACTTGATGCTAATTTCTAAAAGTTGCTGTTTTTCCTTTGATTGAAGTTTGTTGTGTGGGTGCCATAAACATGATTTGCCTCTACATTTATTTGCTAAACAGTTGCATGGTCCCAAAAGGCCTTTGAGATAAAAGTTATTGTCTAAATATGGTCCTCAATCACAGTCCTGAAGTTGAGACTTAGGTAACGTAGGGCCTCTAATCATCCCCCATTTGCTTTTTGGAACTTGCCTAACACAATATGAATAACATAGGGTAATTTAGCTTTGTGGACTTTAGAATAAAGCTTTCTTTACTTGGTTATTGCTTTGATTTTTTCTGTTTTAAGTTCTTAAGCTTGTTTACGGGTATGTTAAACTTGTATTACTTAGACATCATTGCTTGTCATTTTGAAACCATTCATGTTTTATTTCAGATTATGGTTACTTTCTAAAATGGTTGTTGTAGTTGTTCTGTGTAGGTTTTACTGTTGATGGCGACAGCTTTGAATGTGCATATACCTGAACTACCTCCTGCTGGAGTTGGAGATACTTTGCCAACCGACTTACGTACAAGTCAGCAGCGTATAGCTGAGATCACGGAGATGATCCATGTCAGTCAAATATTTATTTCAACTTTATGTGTTGTGTGCTCAGTTTTATCCCTGCCATTGCTTTCATGTCAAGTAACGTCTTCAGAGTTGCTTCTAGACTAATGTGATCATGCCCTTTGATCAGGTGGCAAGCCTCCTTCATGATGATGTCTTGGATGATGCGGACAAAAGACGGGGTATTGGTTCGTTAAATGCTGTAATGGGCAATAAGGTACTCTAGTGTCTTGTTTCCTTAAAATGAAACTGCTTGCGTTCCTTTTATTTCTTTCTTTTTTGGACAAAATAATTTCTTCTATCGAATTTTAATTGTGTGAAGTCTCCCTCTCTCTCTCTCTCTTTCCCCACCTCTCCCTCCCCTAAATTCATGTAAATTTTTGCATACAAGTTCTCATTGTTGTTTTAAGACCTTTTATTTTTAAATCTCTCTTTGCTATTTCTGGTTGTATATTAGGAAAATAAATTTATACTTTATGTTAATCAAGTTGTTTATGGATCTTTCATCTGGCTGAAGGAGAAAGTGAAGTCTAGAGGATTGTAACCAATTTTTCCTTTCTAAGAATTTCCTGTTTGATTAAAATGCAGCTGGCTGTATTAGCAGGAGATTTCTTGCTTTCTCGAGCTTGTGTGTCCCTTGCTTCGTTAAAAAATACAGAGGTACTTGTTTCCCCTTTTTTGATCTTGTGGATGGCTGTGGGTGAGTTAGGACATGTGATTATATATTGTTGACAAAAGATAGACTGAAACCGTGTCCTATGCTTCTAAATCTTTATCTGGATGCTTCATATCTTGCTCCTTTTTCTTATCTTGGTTTTCCAGTGTCACACTGATTCATTAGTTGTATTTAATAAATTAGCTGTGATTTTTTGGGTTTATGTAGGTTGTCACCTTAATAGCAACAGTGGTAGAGAATCTTGTTACAGGTGAAACCATGCAACTTACAACTGCTTCTAAACAACGTTTTAGGTAGACTGCTCTGCTGCTTCTCTGTAATTCATCTGTAACTTGCATTCTGTTTAAAAGTAGATAAGTAAAATCCTATAACGAAACATTGTCCTTTGTTCTTAAATTAAAGGGCTGTTTGATTCTAGACCTTATTTTGTTCCTATTGGGCATTTTCCTACTGGCTGTTTATTATGATTGTTTTTATTTTGCATCTCTATTTGCTTTATGATTAGCATGGCCACTTGAGCATTGATACTACACAATACATGTAAAATTTGATCATTCTACTTCAGGTAGTAATTAAGTAGAATGATTTGATCACTCTACTTCACCCTTTGACCTTTGTTAATACTTTCTGTGTTCTGATTAGAATGAATATATGAAGCCAGATAAGCAATGCATGTCAGGTCCGTAATCCTTAGTTGTCTGCCTGTTTAAAAATGCCACCCTTACATGAAGAAATCAGAGCACATAATGAAAAGAAAAGATTAAAACTAGATCTTAACAAAAAGAAAGGATAAAAAATGAATGAGAAAAAAGGGAATGAATTAACACTTCTCACATTGTACCTTTACCAAACACACTTTGCACTCAGCTGCTAATAAATCTGTCCAATAAGTGTTATATTTGAAAAGAGGGGTTGGCAAAAGGAAATGGTTACGGCTAATGCAGCTAGGTGTTCTCTGAAGGGAGAAAAATTGCTGTTTCTTTTTATAGTTCAGGCTCTTTATTTTTAATTAACTATGTATCATTTTTTTTAAATGCAGCATGGATTATTACATGCAGAAGACATATAATAAGACTGCATCCTTACTATCAAACAGCTGCAAGTCAATTGCCATTCTTGCTGGGCATACAGCAGAAGTTGCGATGTTGGCCTTTGAGTATGGCAAAAATCTGGTTTGTAAATTCCTTAAACTTTTCTTGGCCAAAAATGAAAAAACCTTAAAGAGTTTCTTGTATCTGGCTAGAAAAATTCAAGTTTTTAGTGGGAGTCATTTTTGAGAGTATACTGCATGTTACAACATAGATCTGGGGGGGAACTTTGTGGATGGAATAACTCTTCAAAACCAATTGACCAACGCTTTCCTTTCTAAATTAATTAACATTTACATGAGATATAGTTGCCCTATGTATTGGATATTGAAGATTATTAGAAGGAACTTTGGTATCCTCCTTTTGTTCTTGTTTCAGGCTGTAGTCAATGAAAAATGATACAAAAATATAATTTAAAGATACAAGTGATAATACTCTTTTGCTCAAGACAATTTGAATGGTGTTTAAGTTATGGATGAGGCTCAACAGTTTCTGTTGCAATTACAACATGGTGCATGAGGTACAAGGGGGCTTTGTGCAGAAGTTTGGTACTTGCATGCTTTAAAAATCATGGTATGCTATGTTGATATTCAGTAATAAGTGACAGGAACTTTCAAGTACTCTAGACCAGAACACTAAAACAACTTAATGCCTATTGATGCTCTCTGTATGCCATGCCATCTGGCTGTATTCAAGTTGTCCTATTTCTATGAATTATGTGTCTTTAAGCTCATCATCTGCCTGTTCTTTTCTCCTCTTTTTTTGTCCAGGGATTAGCATTTCAATTGATAGATGATGTTCTTGATTTCACGGGCACTTCAGCATCTCTTGGAAAGGGTTCTTTATCTGATATCCGACATGTAATTTATCTACCTAAATGTCTTATCTCAGTGCTTACTTTTTTTTCATAAAAAGAAGAAGAAATGATGAAGTTCATAAATGGAAATGGTTTCCTTGTTACTGTTGATGCAAAGATAAAACCACAGGATGCCTGAACAAGCCTTTTACCCACAAATCAAGGTCTTCAATGTTTAAGCCATATTTTTCCACTTTATGGGAGCTGCACTCCCATCCCTCTTTAACATGAGACAGTGAGCAAGTTTGAACTCAAAGTGATGGGAGTGCAGCTGTACTGATTCACGGGTCCAAATTTGAACTTTGAAATTCTGAGTTTCAAAACTTTTAAACACTTAATGTGTCTCTAGCCTTATGACAATGGATCAGTTGATGCTCTCTAAACTCATTAATGAATCTAAGAGCTTGTGTAATAGTCTGTGGAGGCATATTCTGTAAGTCATGATAGGTGGCATTCTGCAATACTTTTGTTTATGGAAATATATTCATCAATTTAGCTTCTCTGAACTCATTCATGGATGAGACTTGCATAATATTCCGTGAGCCCTAACAGGTGTCATTGTGAAATCATTTTTTTTTTTTTGGTATAAACATACTCATCCGTGTTAATCGGCAGAAAAGAAGGGTTCTTCAGGAGTATTAACAAGATTGTATTTTTTATGAAATGCGGACATATTGAATGCATATAAAATGATAATACTTCTGGTTGTCACAATATCTGTCTTGCAGGGAATCATAACAGCTCCAATCTTGTTTGCCATGGAAGAATTTCCTGAATTGCATGCAGTCCTTGACCAGGGATTCAAAAACCCTGCAAATGTTGACATAGTAAGTTTATTTTAGCTGATCCATTTTTGCATGCAATCTCTAATAGTATTCTGTTTTAAAGCTCATATACAGAATTTTCGAAAGTTCAGTTGTTAATACTAGGTGGCATTTTTTTTCCATCACAAAACCCAGTATGTCAATGCAAAGCTGTCACTGTTAAATTTTGCTGAAAGCTTTGAGTTATGAAATTTAGCTTAAGCTCATTCTAGTTGTGGCTTTTCACCTTACTTCAGGACTCTGAACGCTTTTAAAAAAAATTGTTATAGATTTGTAATTGTTTTAGCTGCTTATTAGCAATTAGATTTGCTCTTTTTACTATTTGCTTTAGGGAACCGTATTATTAATTGTATCATGCATGTACTGTTATCTTGCCAAATATTGAGTTGATCTGTTACTAAAAAACACAGGCCCTTGGATTCCTTGGGAAGAGTAGTGGAATACAAAGGACCAAGGAACTGGCCATGAAGCATGCTAACCTGGCTGCACAAGTGATTGAATCTCTACCAGAAAGTGATGATGCAGATGTAATAAGGTCACGGCAGGCACTCATAGATCTCACTCAAAGAGTAATTACCAGAAATAAGTGAAAGAAGACCATCCAGTTACACCTATACGTTCTATGATCAGGGAAGGATTTACAATAATAAATCCCAAAAACCCTTTTTGGTAGCATTATGTAGCTACCACAAGCTTAAGAAAAATTTTAGTTTTTCCCCACTGGAATTTAGTGGCAATTTATTTTTTATTTATTTTTTAATCTTACCCTTGCATTTTAGAAACTTGATTTCTCAAGGTACTGCATTAGTGACACAACAGCATATTTTCCTCCTCCCTCCCCAAGCAGGATAAGCCATTTATTCTTGCCTTGACAGATTTGTCCATGGGTGACAAAGAAACTAGATATACGAAAACTGTAGTAGTATTGCCAAGGTGGTTCTTGAATAATTGAAACCATCTTTTGTTTAAACTTTTACATAGAAAGTCATTGAGAATAAGATTATATCTTTTAATTTGGATCTTCAAGCCCTATATACATTTTCCATAATAAATTAAGCTTAAGAATGTTTCTACATAGACCTACTTTCCTACCAAATTTACCTCGCAATAATGGAAGTGACACTAACCATGATATGGTGACGGTGGCCGTGGCAGCCACAGCCACCTCAAAATCAAGAGAAAGATTCTTGAAATGTTTGACAAGCGGAATTCAGAGGCACACGGCTTTGAAAAGATGTATATACAATAAAGACTTGGGGCTGAAAGGGGTTTGGTAGGATTAGACAATATGGGAGAGTGGTGGATGCCTTTAAAACTCTTCATTATTAGCCTTTTCCTCACCTAATTCATTGCTCCTACATTTTTCTCTACAATTTGGGATCATATCAAGCCCATATCTTGCTCTGTCTGACCGTCTTATTTTAGCACATTTCAAAATATATAATCATTTTCTTCTCTCACCACGTCTCATCACCAGTATTTTAATTTTATTATCTTCACTCACGACTTTACTATTAAATTATCAATTTCACTTTTTATATTAATCTCACTATTAAAACAAACAGTATCTTTTTATACTTATGATTGGATTATACACCAGAAAAATTATTTTTTATCATTTACCTTAATAAATCATTTCCATTATATATTTTGGAGAAAACAAAGTTGTATCATTGCTTATTCATACAATTATTCGGAAACTTTGACAACTATATATTGGCTTTTTACTGTGTTGGTATTTTTGGTCTGAGGAGACAATAAACCAAATCACTATTGAATCAAACTCTTTCTTTCTTTGGATATATATATATATATATATATATATTAAAGTTTAATTAGAAATATTTATCATGAAATTTTAAATCAAAACTACTTAGGTTAGGTTTGCAAGTACCAAAGTTCACTGTACAATCACATATCAATTATGGGAAGAGTTGGTGACTGGAGATTGTCATACTACACTTGGTTAAAAACTTCAAACGCCAGCAGGTAGTTCAAGCCAATCCACTTGCTTATAGTATTTTAATTTTAAATAAAATAAAATAAACACCTTCATATTTGACCTTACAATGGAAATTTTTCTTATAAAAATGGAAACAGTTATGAATTCAGTTTATTTGTTTGCACTGTCAAAGTAGGTGATCATCATCACCATCATTTGAGAGTCTCACTTATATGTGAAACTTGTTAACCTGATATATATGGCATATCAAATGAAAGATAAGATAGAAACAAATCTCGAAAATATCTATTTTTACTTAAGACAATTAGTAGATTTTCTATTAATTAGTCTCCATTTGCAATCATTGCTATATATATATATATATGTCAATATGTCCATTTAGGTCAATTTCTCCCTTTATTGAAGCCATTTAATGCTAATTACTAAATAGAGAGAGGTATAATTGGTAATACTTATCTTTTTTTTTGGTACATATAGAGAGAGAAAATGGTAAATTATCTGAGAATTTACAATAACTTAAATGCTAAAATGTATATGACAAAAACCATGTCAATTTTCTTTTATTAAATAAACAGCTATTCAATCTAATCTATTTTAAGGTTTTCCATTGTAAATGCCTGGTGAGAAACTGATAAAACTTAAAAGTCTCTACATCGTCTAAGGAAGACTTAAAGTTATGGAAAAAGACCCTTTGCTTCTTCTTTTTGTCTTCTCCCTATTTCTAATTTATTACAAGAAGAAATTAAAAAAAAAATCAACTGGCTACAAAAGCATAAAGACTATAAAGAGAGAGCAGATGTCTTTGTAGTCTCCGGTTGGTTGCCACAAAGATGGCATTTTCAGCAACAAATGCACTCGAAGGGAAACTTATTGACAAGGACAATGTGTCCTTTAAATTGTCATTAGAAAGAGGAATTTAAGCATTGATTATTTCAATTCTTTTGGTGATTTTAAGGCTCTGAAACTAAGTACAAAATACACCAAGTAGCAAATTATTACCACATGATGATCAGGTAAAAAAATGCAAATTAATTAGATGTGACAAGCTAATCATTTCCTTTGTAGCCCTTGACCCAACCTTAAGGATCTAAAAGGTTCATACCTTTAATCTATGGAAATGGGTTTTCGAGTGTCAGTTTGGTCATACAAAATTGCGAGTGGGAGTGGGCATCTGCAACCATTTTTAGGCCTGATGTCATGTCAATCTCCCCTACTTTTCGAGCAGTGATTTGTAAGCTTACGGCTACAATGGTTATTGTGCAAGCCATGATCTTCTCTTTTTCTTATCTTTTTTTGATCTAATCAGAAATCAAGCTGTAAAAGGGATTAAAACCGATGGCCATTGATTCTTCCTTGCGATTAATACAAGTCAAGATCAGCAAAATAATCTCTATTATTTCCTCGAAGGCCGAGAGTTTTGTTTCTTTCAACAGATGCATGGAACCTCAATTACCCCATCAAGATATTCAGTCATTAAATAATTCCCCAACCAAAGCCTATTCTATTCAAGTTGATTGAGAAAGGAACACGTTAGATTTTTTTTTGAGTCAAAACAAGCATTACACCCAAAATTTACATTTGGAGATGGACTGAACAAAGTTTGGCAAAGCAACATAATCTAACGAAAACCAGGTTCTTGCTTTGCCAAACTTTGTTCAGTCCATCTCCAAATGTAAATTAATCCAAAAAGACAACAAAATTTGAGAGCAACTTGTCAAAATCTCCAGCCAAAACCGCATAGTTTACAGCTAGATTAGGCAATGTCAAGACCAAAAGTGGACCCCAAAAAGGGTTAGATTATGTCGTATGCATTACAACCTGTTGGCCTATAATTAAAATACTATGACAATTTGAAAATTCTTATGGGATCAGGATTCTCAGTGAAGGAAGGGCATTTCTTCGATTGGCTCCAAATAATGTTATCCCAAATCCCCTACAAAAGAGGCAGAGATGAAAAGAACAGAAGGATAAATAAAGAGTCATTTTCCTCTGAAGGAGAAAAACTCTCAGACGTCTTTTTCTTTACAGCAGAACAACAGGAACATAGCCAGCTACCTTCTTGCACGCAATATCTCCACTGCCACATACATTCATTTATAGCGCCATCCCTTCTTTAATGTATTCCTTCATAGATAATGTACTTTTTCTTTAAGTAAAAGGGAAAAAATCCCCTCCAAATGTATTGCAGAAACAGGCTTTCTCCACCATGTGATGATTGGCTTATTGCTACATTGTTTTATGTCCTTTTCACTCATTTCTTGAATTGCTTACCTTCACCCGGTTCTAATCTTAGTAGTCATTATATATAATTATATATATATATGTAACTCTACTAACAAAATAGGAGTCATAGATACACTTTCTTTATTGCAAAAATATTTAAAAAAAAAGTTTTAAAATTTAAATTCGTTTTATGTTATCATTTAAGTATTTAGAGATAAGTCATGGCCTGCAGATTAAACTAAATTTTAGAATTCAAATTAGTCAAGTTATTGGATAACAAAAAAACAGCAGCCTTTGAAGGTATCGCATAGTCATATTGTTTTTATTCTGTAGCAGGCAGAAGCAAGAAGTTTATATCCCATCACCTAGTCATAGTATATATAGAGCCTCATTTACCGCGCGTGTTTGCTTCAAAGCTGTGGACTCTGAAGTGGGTATCTGGAGAACTTTTTGCGTTTTCATTTTTCCTTTCAAATGGAAAAATTCTATGTTCTTTGTCTCCTGGTTTTCTTCTCTTTTTCTCTGTTTCATGGAGGAACAGCCAGAGCTGTCAAATCCCGAGGTGGATCAGAAGAATGGGGTTATGTTGAAGTCAGACCAAGTAAGAAAAAACAAACAATAGCTTCATAATTTGTACAATTCTCATTCATTTTTGTGTTTTTGTTAAGTCCAATAGTTTAATGTGAATGATCCTGATCTTGGGCTTTTTTTTCTTCTGTTTTTTGATTTGTGTTATAGAAGCACACATGTTTTGGTGGCTTTATAAGAGTCCTTATAGAGTTGAACAGCCCTCCAAGCCATGGCCAATCATTCTATGGCTACAGGGTGGACCTGTAAGTTTTCTATATGAATCTGTTATAACATGAAATGTGAAAACAAAAACATTTAAGTATAAAGTGAATTGATGAGCAAAGGAGAGTACACTTTGAATTTCCTTTTTCATGTTTCATTTGTATCTGACTAGATTTCTGTTCTGCTTCAATTTTGAAACTGTTTGCATATTTGTTTTCTTCACAATACAGGGTGCCTCAGGAGTTGGAATTGGAAACTTTGAGGAGATTGGGCCATTAGACACCAACCTGAAGCCAAGGAACTCTACTTGGCTAAAAAAGGCTGATCTTTTGTTTGTGGTTAGTTAGCCATGATTCAAGTCTCTGATTAATATCAGTACCAGAAAAATGGGGATTTAACTTTTCGAGTTTTAATGGAAATTAATGTATTTGATGTGATACAGGACAACCCTGTTGGAACAGGATACAGCTTTGTGGAGGACACAAAGTTGTTTGTGAAAACTGATGATGATGCAGCAACCGATTTAACTACTTTGCTGATTGAATTGTTTAATAGAAATGAAAGCCTCCAAAAGAGTCCCCTGTACATTGTGGCAGAGTCTTATGGAGGAAAATTTGCTGTCACTGCTGGATTATCAATTCTAAAAGCCATTGAAGCTGGAAAATTGAAGCTAAAACTTGGAGGTAAACGACCTTCCAATAACATTAATTTATCCAAACATTCATCTTCAAAAAGCTTGAGAGGACATAGTCTGTTTTATGTTTGGTGTGAATTTTGAAGATTTTGAACTGAATTCTGATATGTAGGAGTTGCCTTGGGAAATAGTTGGATCTCACCAGAGGATTTTGTGGTAAGTGGCTTTATTCGATTGTTAATCTCCCAGTGAATTTGACTTGGCAATGGATTTTGATTTGGAATTTGCAGAACAGAATGCCCGCACAGGTTTTATCTAAAGATTTTCACTTTCCCTTTTGTCAATCTGGATGCTACAGTTTTCATGGGGGCCTCTTCTTAAGGATGTTTCACGGCTAGATAACAATG